TCCCCATAGGCATACTAAGAATGTTCTAGAAGCACTCATACCCAGAAACAGGGGAGGTGGCAGAAGCCAAGGTAGGGCTGAGCTGATGGGCTGGTGTGATGGAAACCTGGAAACCTATCTAGCCTGTGATCTAGGGCAGCTGACACATCTGCTGTCACCATCATTGTTAGTGGGACTCTGAGCTATGTGCAGTCTCTGGCCTCTGAGACTGACACATAGGAGATGCTCACTTGAAGACTTGTTGAAGAAGAAGGGGTGAAGAATGAGCAAGTCTTTTCTCATTTCTGCAGCTAGGCTCCAACTCCAGGGACAACCTCATGATAATGGGGAAAGTTATACAGAAGGCTGGCTGGGGGTTGCAAGGGCTCCTGAGGTGCTCTAGGTACTAAGGAGAGGGCTCAGGCAGGACATTCAGACAGCAGCTCTTTTCTGACTGTGACAAGGTGCCTGGGGAACATTGGGCCAGACTGTCATATAGAGGTTGTGTTTGAGGTGTTAGTGGTGGTGGGGAGATAGGGTGGAGAAGATAGGAGTCTTGGCTGCATCAAGCCCTGTTCTTGTTGAAGTTGGAATTTGACAGGCCCTATAGCTTCTCTGAGCCTGGAGACCTCATCTGGAGAACAGGGGCAATATCAGAAATTCCACTCCTGACTCAGGCTAAATAGGTTTCCATTCTTCCATCATACTCCCCCAGTCAGCTCAGACCCAGCACAGCTATTGCCACCTAGTAGACCAACCTGCTTCTGATCCTAGGCAACCACCATACCTGCTAGACATGGGTGCTTCTAGAATATCCTGAGTACTGGGTATAAGGAGACTAACTGGCATTTCCTACCTATAGAAACAGTTCCTTTTCATAAAGGAAACCCCCATGTTCTCCTTTGTGGGAGATACATCATCACACCCTTGGCTGTGAGCAACCAAATTAAGAAAATTACTTTCTTACTAATTTTATGGTGCTAACAAACATCTGATGGTGTATTGGGAAAGCTGTGCCAAGCTTTTGGGATGAAAGCTATTAAGGACAAGCAATAATTAGAGATTTTCTGGGGATAAATCTTGGAAAAAGTAATCCACTTTAAAATATGATTTGCAGTTGGGCATGGTGGCTCATGCCTTTAATCTTAGCACTCGGGAGGCAAAGACAAGTAGATCTCTGCGATATCAAGGCCAACCTGGTCCATATAGGGAGTTCCAGGCCAGCTGTGGCTACAGGGAGACCCTGTCTTGAAAGGAAGGAAGGAAGAACAGGAGAGAGGGAAGAGAAGAAAAGAAAGAAGGGAAAAAATGGTTTGCAGGCTGGGGGTGTAGCCTAGTGTCAGAGTGCTCACCTAGTGTGTACGAGGCCTTGTGTTCAATCCCCAGTACTACAAAACTAATTAATTTATTAATTAAAAAATACAGTCTGCAAAGCCAGGTTGGCAACACATACTGGTGTCACTCAGCATGGTGATGCTGTGAGGTGAGAGGAGGACATGTGCATGGGGAGAATCGGGGGCACATGCATACCCTCACATACTTCTATACAGCCACAGGAGCACATGAATATAGTGAGCACTCAAGGGGCCCTGAGAAGCCAGAGGGGAACATTAGCAGTGCTTATATACAGGAATACATAGACCACATGACATATAGACAGACACACACGGAGGCCCAGCAGGTGCAGAACCACACCACATACAACATGTGCAGATACAAAAGCCAGAGAGAACCATGTGGCATCTCTAGATAAAGCATGCACAGCCCCAGTTAGTATACCATTGATGACCACATCCATAGACACATGTGACAGATGTGTCAACACACAGGTGTGCAGACAGCCCCATGTGAACAATATACAGAGACAGGTACCCTAAAACCTACATCTTCTGACAAGATTGGGCACTATCCCTTGCTGCCTGCCTGGAGGTTGGCTCCTACCTGAACCCATAGGCCAAGTAGACAAGAGGTCCCTGATGGAGATAGCTTACAGGTGTCAGGGCTCACAATGGCACTCAGGACCAAGAGACTACACATAGGAGGACCCTGGAGGTTGGTCTACACAGGTACCTGAAAATGCTAGGGCTTGTCTGTGCATGCCTGGGTGCACACACAGGACCATCTGTAAGCCCCACCACCATCTGTGGGCCTCCTGGGTCTACCACTCAGATGAGAGCCCCACAACCATGCTGCTGGCCAGTTGGTTCCCTTCCTGCCACCATCTGTCACACTCATGCGGTTGCCACTGGGGGCTAAGCTGCAAGCAGCTGGCAAGTTAACTATAGGCTTTTAAAGAACAGCAGAAAAGTAGAGTCCTGGCCAAGTGTGGTAGCACCTACCTTTAATCCCAGCACTTGGGAAGCAGAGGCAGGTGGATCTCTATGAGATTGAGCCCAGCCTGGTCTAGAGTTCCAGGTCAACTGGGGCTACAGAGAGACTCTGTCACTAAGAATTTTTTTAAAAAGGAAGGGAAGGGGGAAGGGAAGGGGAGGGGAGGGGAGGGGAGGGAAGGGAAGGGAAGGGAAGGGAAGGGAAGGGAAGGGAAGAAGGGGGAAGGCAGAGAGGGAAAGGAGAAGGGGAAAAGGAAAGAAAATAGGAAAGGAAAAAAAAAAAAACAGCATCTGAGAAGACATGTATGATAAATGGGAACTTGGAAGCACAAGTGGTCTGGTGGCTAAGGGCAGTGATGCCCCAACCACCTTGAGACCCTGAGGCCTTCAGGGCCACCTGCTTTGCCACAGGTACGCCAGAGATTGCTTGTTTATCTGACCTGGGTCAGCTGCAGAACCTCTGCCCAATATTCCAATGTCACACAGAGCCACAATGTCACTTCAGGAGTCTGCCAGAGACCCACCACTCTTCCTGCCCATGGGGAGCTGCAGTCTCTTCAAAGTATTCCTCTGGGCAAGAATGAGCCTCAAATTTTACCTCCTCTGCCCAGATGCCTGCCCAGATACGGGTGGCTGGCTCTGGTTCCCTCTGCCTTGACCCCTACAGCTCTCTCTACCACCACTGGAGAGGGCCAGGCCATTAGAGCTCTCTACAAAGCAGTCTTAATTATTGGCAGCTTACTCCCCAGTGTTCAGCCCAGCCCTGGCCACTGTGCCATTCTCATGACCTGGACATTGCATTGAGGAGGGAGACAGAGAAAAAGGCCTGTTCATCAATCCAGGGGCATCAGGGGTTGCTTTCCACAGTGTTCAAGTACAAACAAGGCTGTCCAAGGCCAAAAGGGGCATAAGTACCTCCATGAAGGGTTCTCTCAGGTGGCCACTTGCATGAACCACCTCTCCAAGGTATCCATAGCCCCTAAGGTCAAAGGCCCAAAGATTGCACCCAAATCCAGAATGAAAGTGGAGCAAAGTCTGAAGATCCCTGGCCTCCTACATGGCCAGGTAGACAATGGGAGAGGTGGGTTTACGGGAATGGAGGTACAAGTGGGGAGGAAAGCTACCAGGCCCCTCCCCCATCCTAGGCAGGTGGTCTCATTCCTGCTCTGGCCTCTGTGAGGTCCACTAAGCCTGATCTGAAGACTCATCTCACCCCCTTCCAGTGCTCAGGAGTCTCAGGGTAAAGATGTAGGGTTCAGGGAGGGGTGCTGCTCCAGTAGGCCCCACTGAGTAATTAATGGGTTAATTACACACCCCATAAAAAGCCATTGTGATTTAGAGAGTGAACCAGGCAGGCCCATAGCTGGCAGTAAATCAGGGCTGCAGGGATGAGGCGGGTGGAGTCCCAGTCCCAGTCCTCCAATGAGCCGAAACGGCTGTAAATCTGTAGAAATGGCTTTTATGAAGCTCTGGGTTTTATGATGTCATTAATGTTCCTTCTGATACTTAAGGGAAAATGAAATAAGTCATGAGGAGGTGCAGAGGCTGTTCCCATCAGTGCCAGGGCCACTGCCCAGCCTCAAACTTAGGTAGGTGAAGGAATTGTCTGTACCTGAGGTCATGACCCCAGTGGGTCTCAGCAAGCAGGGTTTCAGGCTGCTCCAGTGGAGTTGGGCATGCCTGCCCACACAGGTATGCATGCAGCAGGAGCCTGCTGAGTACTACTTTGCTTCAGTGGAGCTCTCCATGGGCCATAAGCATACCCCTCAGACAAAAATTTACCTCCTCATAGATGGGTGGCTCCTGGACATTACTTATTACTTTATGTATAAGAGTGTATTGTTTGCACGTAGGTAAGAGCACCTATGTCATGCAGTGCCTGCAGAGGTCAGAGGAGGGCATTGGATCCCCTGGAACTGGAGTTATAGACAGTTGTTAGCTACCATGCTGGGAATCAGACCTGGGTCCTTTGCAAGAGCAGCAAGTGCTCTTAACTTCTGAGCCATCTCTCCATCTCTTCAGCCCCTGGACATTACTTCTTCTTCTTTTTTTTTTGTGGGGGAGTGATGTCTTTTTGAGACAGGGTCTCCCTGTAGTCCCAGCTGGCCCGGAACTTGCTATGTAGATCAGGCTGGCCTTGAACTCACAGAGATTTGCCTGCCTCTGCCTCCCAAGTGCTGGGACTAAAGGTGTGTGCCACGACCCCTGGCTTGGACATTACTTCTTAATGTCCAGTCAGGGCTCAGGCCCTATAGCGAGTGGAAGGTGGAGATGGGACAGGTTGTTGGAGGATGGCTGCTCACACCATAGACCTTTGTCATCAAACACCCTTGGTTCCCAGCCAGGACCCAGAGGCAGCAGCTTGCTTACCTTATTAGCAACAGCCTGGATCCCTACTTCTTGGCACCCTGCTCACTTGCACAGGCACCCACTTTGAGGCTCCTGGTCAAATCCCCAGAGATCCTGCCCTGTGTGTGTCCCTGGATATCAAGCTCCCTGTGAATTTTGGCTCAGGGCATGTGTACCCTGGGCCCACCCTGCAGCTGTTGAGGCCAAAACTAGCCAAGACTCTGGGAGGGGCAGATCCTAGAATGGTGGGGCCCACTAGGCAGGGGAACTATAAGAAAGTTGAGCTTGGCTCCCACCACAATAGGGACAAAGACAGCAGGAGTGGAGGGGCTAGACACTTACAGAGTAGCCTCTCCCGGAAACTGCCTGCGCCGAGCTCTGTGGGAGGAAGTAGGAAGACAGTCAGTGACAGGCTGCAGCCAACTGACCCCCACTCTAGCAGTACAACCCAAGACAGGCCAGCAGACTCTAGGGGCAGCAGGACCTCATTGTGGAGGGAGAACAGGGCTAAGTGTGGCCTGCTCCTGCACCAGAGAACTTCCTGGGTCTCTTCTGGAGCAGGCCCACAGTTCTAGCAACAGCTCTGGACTGGCCCAGGAGAGAGGCCCCACCTAGTAGAGTTGGCCCGAGAGAGGCCCTGGCCTGTACACAGCAACTCCAGGGATAGGGTGCTAAAGCTGTTCCCCAAAATGAAGCAGGAAGAGTCTGGGATTCCAGCTCAAAATGAGACCCTTGCTGACCCTCTACATGCCTGGGGTTCACAGGAAGGCTTCCCGGAGGAGGAGGCAACATGAATAGAGCCCTTGAAGGATCTAACAGGCCAAGTGGCCTCAAGGTCAACCCACAACTATGACAGAGGCTAAGGTGAAGGCCCAGGAGTACATGAAAGGTTCTATGTGGCTCAAGTAGACACTGTGAGCCCCATCAGAACAGAGCCAGCTACAGCACAAGCTGCCAGGTCTCCCATAGCCTCAGAGATGGGTCATGCACCAGACTCAACCATGTACATGCACATAAGGCAGAGGATGTGGCGGGAAGAGGCGCAAAAAGAGGGTTGAGTCACCGCAGAGTGGGTGAGGGGGATCTCTATAAGAAGGAACTGCATGATGGTTTGAGACAATGGCAGGGGTAGGGGAGGAGTAGAGGACACAAAGAAGAGTCAGCAAAGGGGAGTAGAGGCTGGCTAAACCTCAATTCTCTCTTCCCTCGAAGCAGTACTGTCAGGGCTAGGCAAGCCCCTGGGGTCACTGTCAGGCAAAGCCCACCCAATCCTGACCATAGCTGGGTCCCACCTGCCAGTCACAGGCAGCTGATGGGGTGGCGATGGGGCTTAATTGGTGAGTTCTCAGCTGCAGGTCTGTGTTCAGAATGCAGCTTCATTCATCCTGGGCGGCAATCACAGTGCTAACTAGGGCAGCCCTGTGGCCCCAGGGAATTACCAGCCTATTTTCCCATCTTGAGGCAACAAGATCAGGAGCCTGGCAATTATGTCTCCCTCTTCGGCAGCAGGCTACACCCCCAAGCCCCCATTTAAATGATAATGAGACACAACTCATTCAATTTCGTCCTTAAAAAAAAAAAAGGAAAGAAAAAGCACCATCCTGAGGCCACTTCAGAAGCTGTGCAGAGCCACCAACTATGTCAGTACCACCAGCCTCTGCCTCTACCTCTGCCTTTGTGGTCCCTATGCTCCATCTTTGGCTGAGCCTGGGGGCTCAATGTTGCCCTGGCTGTGCCCACTAGGCCAGCCCTTTGACAGGTCCCTTCCATCTGGCTTTGTGGCTGACTATATCAGGGGTTAGGCATCTATGGGTCTCTTTCAGGGACATTGATGTCTCCAATTTAGATCACTGGCATGTGTGCCCCTGCCCAACACCACAAGGCCCAGGCATCTCAGAACGCATGCCAAGGCATGCAGGCTATCTATTCTGTTCTAGGTAAGGTTAGTCCCTTAAGTTCAAATATACCTGGCAGCTGGGCATGGTAGCATACACACTTTTGATCCTAGCACTTAGGAGGCAGATCTCTGTGAGTTTGAGGCCAGCCTGTTCTACATAGTGAGTTCTAGGTCAGCTAGGGCAACATAGTGAGACTCTGTCTCAAAAAACCCCATAAAACAACAAAAATAGCCTGGCATCAGGCTGTGGATTCAGACACATCTATAGAGTCATTTCTGCCCCACCCTACTCTCCTGTCCTGCTCATAGGCTTCACTGCAGGATGTTGGTGCAGTAACTACCCTGGGGCTCCAGGATGCCCACCCTAGGGCTGCAGAGTCAGTGTACAGGCTGCTGGACTGCACATTGTGGGATGGCTGATATTCCAGATGGGCTCCTTCCAGCACCTAACTTCTGTCCTTCATTTAAATTCCTCCAACTAGTAAGGACCTAATTAGTGAAAAGCTATGCTTGGGGAAGACAAAACACTAATTGCTCACAAGCAGCCTCCAAGTGAACTGCCAAGCCTAGCCAACACCATGGGCACACCAGCAGGAGGCCACCAGGACGTGGGTGGTAGATACTCACGTCGCTCAGCTGGTCCCGGGAGCTGCTCCGCTGAGAGCTGGTGGCTTCAAGGACACTGTCGTCATCACTGTTATGGTCACCTGCTCTGGCCATGGCGACCTTCATCTGGGGACAGGGAGGAAAAGGTCTCAGGCAAACATGCACCCAGTCAATCAGAGAAGAGCAACTGGGACTTGGCTTATTCTGGGGCTAAGAAGTACCAAATGGGGCAGGGGGACATTTCCCTCTGGTCTGAGGTCTGTTGGGAGGGACAGCAGGAGGAACAGAGAGCTGCAGGGTCAGGAAACCCACCTGGCTGACTGCTAACAAATTTCTCATCAGACAGGACTGGAAAAAATATCTTAAGGAGCCATACCACCACTGGCTCTGTCCTCAATTTCTCCAACTATTGATTCTGAAGACACCCTGGGGAACTGTAAGGCCACAGGCCAAGACTGCTCACCCTGCCCACAGCCTAGGCTTTTCCTGCTGAGGCCAGGCATGGGCTGGGCTGCTTTACCCTGCTACACACCCACAGTGCCTTCTTTAATAGGTATGACAGTTCCTTAGGTATGTGACTGACCTTGGCCACTTTTTGGTCCTTTAGTGCCTCGGTTTGCCATTTGAGGAACAGAGCTGATATACTGCTGCAGGCCCACACAAGGATCCTGGAGGCTAGCTGAGAGCGCTGACTATCCTCACTGCTTTGCACATCAGGACTGTCTGCTGTCTGGAATAGTTCTGAGAACAACCTATTTCACTCCCACCTCACAGAAGGAAAACAGGCCCAGGCAGGGCTGGAGCCAGAGCTAGTACAAAGGAGAGGAAGTGACAGATATCAGAGACTTCAGTACTGGGCATTGGCGCCAGCAGGGACACCCATCTACACTAGGCTCATAGCCTCCTGGGACCACTTATAGAGGTCCAGCGCTGGTCTCTAACCTCTATGATGAGAAACATTCCTACACCTGTAATGGTGACGTCTGTATGAACAAGCTGGGTGCAGCGCCTAGCCGGCACAAAATGCTACAAAGCCATGTGAATGCACATGAACACTCACCCTGCCTTCACCTCCTCCATCTCCCCTGGTCTCAAATTCCACTAGTGTGGACTTAGTCAAAATCTTCATGAGTCCATCCAGCCAGTCATTTCACCATGAGTATGTGCCAGTCCTAAAACTAGTTTAGGGACTAGGGCCAGCCTGAACCCCCATGCCTGCCAACTCCCCTGCCCCAGCCCCCAGCTTTCCAGGAGTCCACACCCCTTCTTCATGGAGCTAACAGGTTGCTAAGACCAAGACACTGACTGGGTGTTGGTTCATGTCCAGATGGCTAAATGGGGGACCCTTGCCCAGAATCAAATGTGTAAGGAAGGCCCCAGTAAGATGAAGGCTGTGGTATCTTTGGGGCAGGGTCTAGGTAGAGAGGGTGGGTTGCAGGTAAACTAGGCTGGCCCCAAGGTGCTAAAGGTGACCACACTGTCATTGGCTGGGCCACTCCATGGGGGCTTTCTCAACACTGAACCCACTGAGATACCACTGGTATCCCTGTCATCTGGTTGACTGCCACGGGGGCTTCCTCTCCTCTGACACAGAAACACCCACCTCTAAGGAGTTGAACTGTGAAGGTGCAGGGTATGCTTTCTGCTTCACACATACATACAGAAACCTCTTAGCCAGACACTGGGGTGAGTGCCAGACCCTAAGTCTACAATGGAATCTTGCTGGTGGGGTGGTATTATCTGTCACCTTTCCTCAAGTGGCTGTCTTTATAATGCTGAAAGCCCCATTTCCTGGAAAGTCTTGTAGAGTTGACTGAGTCCTGTATCCTGGAAACCACCCCAATCACAAAGGACAGCTGTCACCCACTTCTATAACCAGGTAGACCCCAAACTGCCCATCTTGGCTGCCCTTTGGTCTTAAGCTTGCTTCTTATGTACTCAGAGAAGTTGCTGTGAGCTATGCCAAGGCCTTTGAGATGACATGCTTCCATTTCTGGCAGTGGATGCAAGGATGGGGTCCAAATATCTGGACTTCCATGTCTGACTGGGGCCAGAAGGTAGCCTGTTTGCTCTAGGAAGGCAAGTGGGAATACTTGAACTTATACCCACCTTTGGGCCTCGTAGATGAGTCACCTGTCCATCCATTAGCCCACTCATCCACTGAAGTAAACAGCCAACCAGTCAGATAACTAGGCAGTTAGCAAACTAACCAACTAGCCATTGGATCCATCCATCCATCCATCCATCCATCCATCCATCCATCCATCCATCCACCCATCCATCCATCCATCCAGTTATTCAGCCAATCAGTCAGATACCAAGCCAGTCAGTCAGCCAGCCAGCCAGCTAACCATCCAATTAGCCAGTCAACCAATCAGCTATCCAACGTTCTCCAAGTTCCTAAGTACTGGGCTCTTCTGGACAATAGATATGCAGACACACATCCCTCTACTCACAGAGCCAGCAAAAGCACCTCTGTCCCAGTTAAGTATAACAAGAACACATGAGACAGAGGCAGGTGGATCTCTGTGAGTTTGAGGCCAGCCTGGTCTCTATAGTGAATCCAGACCAGCTGTGGCTCCAGGGAGACCCTGTCTCAAAAAAAACCAAAAAAAAAAAAAAAAGAAGCACATAACCTGCTAGACAGAAACGTGTGCTGAGGAGCAGGCCCACTGCTTATGCTGGGTAGGATTCTATCTGTTCTGACATGCCCACTTTGAAGAACAGAGTTGGGCCAGTTTGTATGCTCCAGTAGGCTCCAGACATGGACAGGGAGGTCAAGGTTGGTTCAATCATTTTAAGGTTCCCTCCTCAACATGTCTGGCCTGGAGGCTCCAGGGCAAAGTCAGCAACCCAGGAGGTCTATAGGGAATGATCAGAAGGCAGGCCACAGGGAGGAACCATAAGTACTGTGCCTACACAGCTTTAAACTGCCTCTCAAGGACAAACAGCCTCCCTTGTACCCAACAAAGCCAGCAGAGCCAGAAATGAGGTATTCTTGAGCAGCTGTTCTCCTTGGCTGAGGTATGAGCAGGATCTCCCAACAACATGGTAGGTATGCAATTGCACCTATCGTACACACACACTCTAGGAGGGCACAGCTATATTCAGAATCTATCCTTTCCTTAATAGCCAGCCCCTCTGGGGTTTCTGAGGTCACCTCTGAGACCACAGTTCTTTTACCATCCTGCAGGCTGGCCATGTTGGGCTTCATACCTGATCTTTCATCCAGTCCCATGTAGGGAGGTAGATGGAGCAACCTTGGGCAAGTGGCCTAACCAGTCATGTGGCCTGGTCCTGGGCAGGTAGTGAAGAGGGCCCTAGCTCCAGCAAGGCAAGTGTCTGTTTCATGCTGCCTCCCTGACCCAGATAGATGGGGGTCTCCCCAAGGCAATAACCTAAGACATCTCTACCCTCTCTGAATGTAGTCATTGGGCTTTCATGTTACTTGTAAATAGTTCAGAAGAAATGAAGCAAATGCATGAGAGAAGGAAGTCACCACAGCTGAATGTTCCGGTAAATCTGGAGAATCTCTGTCTTGTAGCCCATGTTTTTGTGGGTTTTAACTACTTTTAATTTTTAAATTACATTTATTTATTTATTTATTTATTTATTTATTTATTTATTTATTTATTTGTATGCATTGTGTGTGAGAAAGAAAGCATGCCACAGTGCATGTGTGGAGGTCAGATGACAACTTGTAGAAGTCACCATGTGGGTCCCAGGGATCTGAATACAGGCCTGGAGGCAAGTACCTTACCCACTGAGCCATCTCTCTGGCCCTGTTGATTTGAAGAGCAACAGGAGCCCAAGGAGTCTCTCAGGACAGCACTTGAGGGCTCACAGGCCTGAGATCCCTGGGGGCTGTGAGAAGTAGGTCTATAAGCAGAAGTGGTAGTCTCAGGGCTAGAACCTTCATGGGGCCTCTCTTGGCAGGTTCAGTCCATTGCCCATGAGCTGTACAGGTCTACAGGGGAGCTGCAAGAAAAGGGTAGGCTCCAAGCCAGGGGGGCAGGAGGGTCCCAGGAAGAGACATGTAAGGATGTAAAGCAATGCATTAAGGATTCCAAACAGACCAGAACTTCCAAGACCTCAGAGAAAGGCCAGTACTGTCCTACTGAGCCCTCAAGCTTGCAAAGTTGATTTCAGTGTCCTCCCTGCACTAACCTTGCAGCCTAGCATGTTCTCGGCCCGTAGAATGGATGGAATAGAGTCAGGCTGCTTTCCACCATTCAGCAGCCTCTACCAACATGTGCTGGTGAAACATTCCTACTTCCCAATGTTTGTGAGCCTGGACAAGACATGGGAGGGACACAAAAACTACAATAAACTAACAGGAACTTGCACCCAAACCTGCTGAGTGCCATTCACGTGTACATGCTAACAATTGGAGTAGACAGGAAACTGAGGCACAGAGCAATAGAAGGACTTCCAAAGGTACCACAGGTGATGAGTAGAGCTTGAGTGCTGGGAGGATACCCCTCGAGCATGGGTGCCTGCCAGATGCCAGAACACACATGGCTCCTGGTACACCTTAGTTGACACTCCTTGAGCAGACAGGGGGGCATGGTGGAAGAAGCTGTGACTCACTCCATTACCAGGACCAGAGCACAACCAGCTTTGCGTAGTAAACCAGCTTTATAAGAGAGGGAGGCCCTCAGGAATGCCTGCCAAATTCTACAGGGTAAATGTTCACACCGGGGGCTGCCTTAAGCTACTAACAGTTCAACAGCTTGTGACTTTCCTGAACAGTCAGCAATCAGTTTCTGTTAGCTGACACACCCCTAAATAGGGCAACCAGACCAACACGTTGGGAAAGGCTCTAGGAGCCAAGAATATGGTGGCTTCAGTAGCAGGAACCCACCCTCTACCCCACCCCAGGTTGTACATAGAGGAAGTGACTGCCTCTAGGGATGGTGTTCAATCACACTGCCATCCTGGATAAGAAACACATGGTTCTATTCTGGTACTCAGACCCACTGGGGGTTTGGGCACAGGGCTGGCCTGTCCAGAGGTTAGGCCCTATAAGTCATCTGCTGCCAAGCAGAAGATGGAGGACCCAAAGTGTCCCTTCTCACTTGTAGAAGACAGAAAGTACACCAGGACACAGGCCTAGAGAGAAAGCA